CTGCTGCTGTGGATATCCAGGAAAGATAGCATGTTGTTGTTTTCTGTTGTTTTGTATGTATTGTGATCTATCCATGATAACTGTGGTTCGGTCTTTGTCTGCTGGGAGGATGGTGATGGTTTAGTCCTTCTTTAGGTTTCTGAGAGCTGCTCTAGCCTCTGCTTTGAGTTAGATTCTGTGTTCTTCTGATCTGTGGCATGATGGTCTGCCTTATGTTTTCTTGGGGCTCTGTGTTAAGTCCTGTGGTTTTAAACACTGCTTCTAAGGCTGCACAGAATTCTAACTGATTAGTATCGTCCATGTTATAGTTGAGGCCCTTCTGGAGGATATTGTGTTCTGCAGTGGATAGTGGGCGCCTGGACATGTTGACTACCCATTCAGGTTCAGGTGCCTTTTCAGCAAAGATTACAAAGATGGGATTTGCCTAACTGCAGAAATCTCAAAAAGAGGAGGCATAAATTAACTACATGTATTTCTTTGTTTTTTCCTGGTATATGAACTTTATTAAAATTCTACACATAAAATAGATATAAAAAAATATATAAACATATACAAAAACATAAACCTGCAAACAGAAAACTAAACATTAACTTGAAAAAGAAAACACATAATCCATTTCCAGCCTTCATTTTCCTCACAGATCCATTAACCCTTTCTTATTCTATTATACTGTTATCGCTATTTAAATTTTTCTGTCATCTCCCCTTTATCATAAGACCTATAAAACCCTTTATCATCAAGCTATTTTTCCTCTACTTTTGCAATATAATCCACAAACGGACTTCAGTCTCTAATAAAAGACTCTGTAGATTTCTCTCTCATTACACTTGTCAGTTTTGCCATCTCCAAGTATATGTATTCCTTAAACTCTGTAGGAATAGCTCACCTTTAAAAAGCTACATGCTATAAATATTTCTTCACTCATTCTTTATAAGAGAATAAAGGGTGTTTATCTATGATACTCAGAGTTTTCAAATGCTAAAAAAGTCAGATAGCGCTTTGACATGCAGGAAATGAATTAATACAGAGGCAAAAATACACACACAAAAAATGAGATTTAAGTTGTGTCTGAAATCTAAACAAAGGTCCATGTACTTAAAGCTTATTTATTATTTATTAAACCAATTTATATAGCCACCCATCTTACCACTGGCAACTCTGGGCAGTGTACAACAAAGCTAAAGCTTAGCCCATCTTTCCAAATGTAAATCAATCCTGAAATATTTTCTTAGCTGATGTTCTCTGTCTAAAAATTCTGTTAACTAATTTTTCAGTCTCCATTTCTGAACTCTTTTCAGAGAGGGTATACATTTTAGAACAATGAATAGCAGGCAACCACTAGAGTGCAGTGCAAGTTTTTTCTAAGGTTCAAAAGAGTTTCACTCAACATTTTTGACAGTACATATGAAATGGCTGTTATCAGTGAAAAAATATACTCTCTAAAAGACAAAAGCAAGTATCAGAAATGATGTCAAGGCTCAGAAATACAGTGATATTTTTCAATGATTCATGCACTGTGAATGGCTTAAATCTGATCTAAGGGTTGGAATTGCAGATGGGATGGTAATAGTATTTTGCAACACAGACCAGTGTTGAGTATTTACATGCACTTGGGTTACTCTTTCCTGCTCTTCTGCAAGCACTGGGAAATTAACACAAATCCAAGATTTATATCAAAATTAATGCATCTTGGAGCCAAATGATATCTGGAATAAGTTCTTGTTGCCTACTGGAGGACTAGTAATGTAAGAACCAAGCAGGACTTCTTAGAAAGGAGTGCCATAGTTTCAATGCCATCTGAAAAGGCCCTGGTTAGTACTGGATCCAAAAGAATATTCCTAACCATGAACCTGATTCTTCATAAACCTATTTCTAAAATAGACTCTATATTGGAATGAGAAAACCTCCAATCCATAGCACCAACAATTTTTTTCTGGATTACAGTTCAACTTTTTAACCTAGACCCACAATCCATCATTATTTCAGACATTTATCCAGAACTTCCACACAAATCTCCTTTGGGACCAGTTTGGTAATTAAAAAGACACATCTTATCCAACATGGTAAAAGACAATGAATCATGTTTATGTGTTAGATTACATCTTTAGCTTACACGTGAACGCTTTCACATGCTTGTATCACGTTGGCTGGTTCTAATGAAGGATTCACCCAACTACAGACTTTGAATTCCACCCCCCCATGACAATCATAATATGATGGTTTTGAAAGATTATTTTAAAAAGTGATATTTAATCTTAAGCTTGACGGAGTACATCCCAGCATTCTTCAAGCACTTAAGAGCTGATACAAAGAATACCACAGCCTATTCTTTAGATCTTAGAGCACAGGATACAAAATAATAAGCTTCTGTCACATTTCACTTCAACAGTAGAACTGATTGCATAGAAAGACTGAGTTCTTCATTATTAGGTACAGTACATTTGAACTTTTTTTTAAATTGTTTTTAAAATAATAACAAAAAAAAAAGAACAAAACACAAAGATAATCATGATAGAAACACAAATATTATCAAGGAGGGAAAAGAACACATAACAAGTGTTTAAAAAGTAAAAAAAAAAGAAAAAAGAAAAATATATCATTGTAATAGTAAACAGTTTCAATTCTATATACGCGCATCTAATACAAATATTATGCAAATATATATTTATTTCTAATACACATATAACTATCATGCTTTTTTTAGCC